TTTTTTTTTTTTTTTTTTTTTTTGGATACCGGTGATTGAACTCTGGACCTTTCGCTTGTGAGGCAGGCAGTGGAACCACTGAGCTAAATTCCCAGCCCATCACCTGGCTATTTTTGTTTGTTTGTTTGGTTTTGGTACTGGGGATTGAACTCGGGCCCTTTTACTTTCGAGGCAGATGGTGGAACCACTGAGCCAAATCCCTGGCCCTTATTTTGTTTTTTGAGACAGGGTCTGACTTTGTTGTTCAGGCTGGTCTTGAGCTTGAAGCAGTTCTCCTCCCTCAGCCTCCAGAGTGCTGTGATTATAGGTATGTGCCACTGTACCTGGCCTGGCTCTTTTTGAGATGGGATATTGCTATATTGCCCAGGTTGACCTGGAACTCCTGTGATTCTGAACTCAAATGCTCCTCTTTTCTCAGTCTGCTGAGTTTCTGGGAACTATAGGTGTGTATAGTGGTGCCTGTAAGAAGTCCATACTGATTCAGGGATTTAGGGTATAATTGTGTGTAGGCCAGCGGCCAAGTACATGCTTAGCCCTGAGTTCATTCTCCAGTATTAAAAAAAAGCCTCATATGTTTTAAATTTGTGGATATTTGGAATAGTTTGCTCCATTGTTTCTGTTGTTCTGATTTAGTTCCCAAATATTTTACTCAACACTAAATGTTTTCTGAGCACCTGTTATGTGCTGGGCATGATTTCTAGATTCTGGAGGATAAAGCAGTGAGCCCCTAATATTATATTCTAGTAAGCATAAATATGTGTAATGAGACAAAAGATAAATTAATAAGATAATGTATATACCGTATTGGAATGATAATTTTCTGTGGAAAAAATAAGGCAAGAAAATCATAGTGAATGTTGTGGAGTTAAGATTTTTGGATAAGTAATTTGAGAGACCACCTGAAGGAAGTGGGGTGACCTATGATACTGATATCTGACAGAAGTGTACCAAGTCAAGGGTGCAGCATGTACAGGGACCTAAGAAGGAAAGCAATTGTGAGGAGTCATGGAAAGTTATGAAGAAAGGCCTAGATGGGAGAGGAGCAAGGTTAGGGAAGTTTGCAGAGTACACTGTAATAATCATGAAAACTCCGGGTTGTATTTTCAGTAGGGTAGGAGGAGAGTCTGAGTAAAGGGAGGATGTAATTTGATTTAAGCTTACTTTAACTCTGGCTGCCGTAGAGAAGAGGCTGAAGTGGGTCAAAGGAAGAATAAGGAAGATCAGTTAGTCCATTGCAGTAATCTAGGCTTGCGGTAGTGCCATGTAGGGGATTTAAGATTTAACAAATAAAAATATAAGATTTCAGTTAAATTTAGATTTCAGTAACTTTTTTTTTTTAAGTTCAAGTATGTCCCATGTAATATTTGGCAAAGCTTTTTTTTTTTTTTAACTCAGGACCTTGTGCTTGCCAGGCAGGCAAGGTGCCACTGAGCTAAATCCCCAGGCCTCCATGTAATATTTAGGAAATTAAAAAAAAATATTTTTTTGAGACAAGGTCTTGCCCTGTAGTTCAGGCTAGCCTTGAATTTGTAATTCCCCTGCCTCAGCCTCTCGAGTACTGGGATTACAGGTGTGTACTACACTACCTGATGGGAAATTCAAATTTAACTGGGTATCCTATTTTGCGTAGTAACCCTATAATTGCCAGAAAGGAGGGAGTAAGAAAATATTTCTAAAACCAAGAAGTGGTTATAGCAAGGTTATAGGACAGAGAAAAAGAAAAAAGAAGGGAGAAAAGAAAAATGAGAAGACAAGCCACAGACTAGGAGAAAATCCTTTCAGAAGCCTTATCTGGCTTATCAGAAGCACTAACATCCAAAATACACAAAAAATTTTTTCATTAGTAGTGCTAGGGCTCGAATCCAAGGCCTCACACATACTAGGCAAGCAGTTTCCCACTGAGCTACATACCCAGATCTGCAAAGAACCCTTACTTAAAACTCAGTAATAAGCAGGCATGCACCAGCTACTTGGGAGATTGAGGTAGGAGGACTGCTTAAGCCTAGGAATTTGAGGCCAGCCTAGACAATATAGCAAGATTTTGTCTTAAAAACAAAAACAAGGGCTGGGGATTTTGCTCAGTGGTTCCACCGCCTGCCTTGCAAGCACAAGGGCCCAAGTTTGATCCCTGGTACCAAAACCAAAAGCAAACAAAAAACAACCATTTCTTTAAATGTTTCATAAAACCCACCAGTAAACTTCTGGGCAATGTAAGTAGTTTTTATGTGTACACTTGTGCACATTTGTGTGTGTATGTGTGTGTGAGACAGGGTCTCACTATGTAATTCAGGTAGCCTTGAACTCACCATGTAGCCCAGGCTGGCCTTGAATGTGCAGTGATTCTCCTGCCTCAGCCTCCTGAGTATTGGGATTAAAGATATATACCACCATACCCAGTTTATAGTCAGTTTTTTTTTTTTCTTTTTGGTACCGGGGATCGAACTTGGGTCCTTGCACTTGTGAGGCAGGCAGCAGAACCATTGAGATAAATCCCCGGCCCAATATAGCCAGTTTTTAAAAGAAAAAGTTTTCACTTCTCATCTCAGTGAAGATTATGAATTTACTTGCTTTGTGGGAAAGTAATATTGAACTTATCTTCTTTGAGGTAGTCTACAAAGGAGAAGACATTATTTAAACCATGTTCAAGAGAGTTGAGACAAAAAACTAAACTGAGTATGGTGATGCATACCTGTAATCCCAGCACTCTGGAAGCTGAGGCAGAAGGATTGCCAGGAGTTTTATGCCAACCTGGGCTACATAGTGTGTTTGAAGCTATCCTGAACCATGTACATGGTTTGCCCTTATCTCACCCCCCCAAAAATACACCTGTAATATTTAGTGTCAACCCTGTGGGAATTTTATTTGCAATGAGGTGAATGTGAGCGTCTGTAGTTTATTATTATAAATTGGTTATTTGAACTGAGATCTGGTGAATGTGAGCAACCCTCAGGAATCATGGATTTATTTCAAAATGGTAAAGCCACATTCTCTAAGAAGGTAATTAAGAAGAGGCTAATAAGTACCAGTGTCCATGCCAGGTAGTAGATAATCATTTTTTAGTTTTGCTTTTCTGCAGTGTTAGGAATTGAGGTCAGGGCCTTTGCACTGAGCTATATCCCCAGCCCTTAAAAAAAAACAAAAAAAACAAACAAACATTAAAACCAGGTTTTACTAAATTGCTAAGTTGCTTGGGTAGGACTTGAACTGGCAAGTCTCCTCCCCAGTATCCCAGAATGTTGGGATTATAGACATGTACTATCATGTCAGACTGATATTCATGTGTTTTGTTGCTACTGGAGATTGAACTCAGCACTTCACACACACTAAGCATGTACTTTATCACCAAATCACTCTATATTCATGTTCTTGAATTCCTATTCCCATTCTTTAAGATAGATGTTACCCTCTTATTCTCATTTAATTAATGAAGAAACTGAGGTTCAAAGAAGTGGCCAAATTCACTCAGGTTATAAGTTCAAGAGTCAGGATCTGAATCTTTGTCTGGTTCCTTCTTTTTTGGGGGGGTACATTTTAGGTATAAAATATAATGACATTTATCCTTGGAAATTTGCACCTTTACATAATCTATCTTGGTTTTTATTTTCTTCCCCATGCCCCTGCCCTTCCTTAAACCCCTTCATCCCTTCCTATTTACTAAGACTTTGTTTCCTTTTTTTCATTTTCTCATATTAATTCCATTCTCTTCTTTCCTTTCATCTGGTTGCTTCTAAAGCTATATGCTTTTGGCTGAGTGTGGTGGCACATGTCTGTAATATCAGCACTTGGGAGATTGAGGCAGGATGATTATGGTGAGTTTGAGGCTAGCCTGAACTACATTGCAAGACCCTGTCTCAAAAAACCAAAAGAAGGGACAGGGATTTAGCTCAGTGGTGCCGCCGCCTGCCTCCCAAGCCCAAGGTCCTGAGTTCGATCCCCAGTACCAAAAAAAAACCACCACCAACAACAAAAAAAATAAACACAAAAGCAAGCAAACAAGCTAGCTAGCTGAATGGTTTCAATTTATTGCCTTGCTACTAATAAAGGGCAGAGCTGCTTGATTCTCAAAAGTACTTAAAACAAAGCAAATGTTAAACAGAACATAGTCTGCTTTAAACAGCATGACTTTGGTACTGGACTGACCTGGTTTAGAGCTTCATGGTTTAGCCCATCATGGTTGTGCATGCCTATAATTTTAGCATTCTGGAAGTCTGAGGCAGCAGGGTCTCAAATTCAAGCCCAGAGACCTTGTCTCAAATTAATTAATCTGAGACAGGGCCTTGCTTTGTAGTCCAGGCTAACCTTGAACTTGTGATCTTCCTGTTTTAACCTCCTGACTGCTGGAATTATCGACATGTACCACCAGGCCTATCTAATCTTAATTAATATTCTTTTTTTCTTTCTGGTAGAGAAAAATCATAAGAAATGAGTTTTAATGTCTGGAATATCAAAGAGATGCTCAGTATTCCCTCAGGCTCTGGGTAAGTTTTCTGATGACATTTTCTGATATTTAAGAAGGTCTTATGATTTCGTAGAAAGAAGGTCTCTTTCCTATTAGTTTATAATAATAGAGATATCTCATACTGCCTCTTTTCTTTCTTCTCCTTTGTCACTGCTTCTCCTTCCTGTACTTGCTTTTTTTTCCTCCTGCCCATTTCCTGGTAGGGAGTCAGTCCAGTTCTTTGTTAACTGAGTAATAACTCTGTATTTTGGCATTGGGCTTACAGACTGTATCTATAAAAATCAGACATGGTCCAACATGTACAATCTGACCACAGTTGGGCACTTCTATTGAAATATTAAAGAGCAAAATCAAATCATTGTTCATTTGGGTTTGAATCTATAGAGGAATTGGTAGGGGTTGTGGGGATAAGAGCCACTCTGGATGTTGACAAGACTCTTAATATAGTGCCCACTCCATTGCTTCACACTGTGTTCACCAACCTACAATAAATCCGCTATTGCTATAGGGTGTGGTGGTGCACGCCTGTAATCCCAGCACTTGGGAGGCTGAGGCAGGAGGATCCCTGTGAGTTCAAGACCAGCCTGGGCTACATAGTGAGTTCCAGGGCAGTCTCAACTACGTAGTGAGATAAAAAAAAAAAAAAAAAAAAAAAGTGCTTTCGGTGATACAGAATAGAGAAAAATATTTGTTTGCAGGTTTTTGGTTCCAGATATAAATCTTACATGATTTCAGTAGGCTCACAGAACTGCTTTTTTTGTCTAGCCTAGCTGATTATTGTCTTTGTCTCAAAGAGCTATTTTGAGAAATGATTATGCAACCCATATTACAATGTCTATGTGAAGCCCATTAGCTAATCTCAAGAAATGGTTCTATGAGTAAAAATAATTGCCCTTATACTGAACTGTTGAGTTTCTTTTAGTTTTATTAATAATTGTTTATACCAATAACTTTTTTGTTTGTATTGAAAATATGAACAGTTCTTTAACTTAGAATATGTACTCATACATGAATTAGTTTTGGGTTTTGGTTTTTTGTTGTTGTTACTGGGAATCAAACTTGGGACCTTGCACTTACAAGGCAGGTGACAGGTGACAGCACCACTGAGCTAAATCTCTGGCCCTTGGTTTTTTGTTGTTTTTTTGTGTTTTTTTTTTTTTTTGTACCGGGAATTGAACTCAGGTCCTTGTGCTTGAGAGGCAGGTGGTGGAACCACTGAGTTAAATCCCTGGCCTGGTTTTGTTTTTTTGAGACAAGGTCTTGCTATGAGACTCAGCCTCCTGAGTGTTCAGATTACAAGCATGTGCCACCACAATTAATTTAAGCATTTGGAAAATGGAATTATTTTTAGGTAGATGTGTATGCTAATGAAAAGCATTTGTTCTCAACTTATTCAATAACATTAAATAATGTAAACTGTTACTGAGATTTTTTTGTTCGTTTGTTTGCAACAGGATCCCCCTATGGAGTGGATGTTGAGCTGGGCATGGTGGTGCACACCTGTAATCCCAACACTGGGGAGGCTGAGGCAGGAGGATTGCTGTGAATATGAGACCAGCCTAGGCTACATAGTGAGTTCCAGGGCAGTCTCAACTACATAGTGAGAACCTGTCTCAAAAACCAAAAAAGAGAGAGGGAAAAAAAAAAAGCAAGCAAACAAACAAAAAAACCTATGGAGTAGAGGCTGACCTTGAACTGACTGAGTAGCCTAAACTGGCCCTCATGGTGATCCTCCTCAGCCTCTTGAGTGCTGGGATTATGGGCATGTATCTCATGCCCAGCTGAGATATCTTTGTTTTTGTTTGTTTATTTGTTTTTTTGAGACAGGGTCTCACTAGTTGAGACTGACCTGGTACTCACTATGTAGCCTAGGCTGGTCTCGAACTCACAGTGATCCTCCTGCCTCAGCCTCCTGAGTGCTGGGATTACAGGCATGCGCCACCATGCCTGGCTTTTTTTGGGTTTTTTTGGTACCGGCAATCGAACTCAGGACCTTGCTCTTGTGAGGCAGGTGGTAGCACCACTGAGCTGGATCCCTGGCCAGCTGAGATATCTTTTTATTTATTTATTTATGTACTTGCTTGCTTAGTTACTGGTACCAGGGATCAAACTCGGGACCTTGCGCTTGTGAGGCAGGCGGCGTAATCACTGAGCTAAATTCCCGGCCCAGCTGAGATATCTTTTAAATAAAAATTTTTTTATTGGTACTGGAAATTGAACCTAAGACTTTTATACTAAGCTGCATCCCCAGCCCTCCCCCCACCTCCTATTTAAGACAGTTTGCTAAATTCATCTCTTCATATATGAGATCTAAAGACTGATTTGAGGGCTGGGATGCAGCTCAGTGGCGTATCAGCTTCCTGTCAAGTGCAAGGTCCTGAGTTCAATCCCTGGTACAAAAAAAGACTTATATAAAGGGTAATGGGGTTTAGAAATTAGCAAAATATGTTTAGGGATTTTTTTTTCCTTTTTCTGGTACCAGGGATCAAACTCAGGACCTTGCACTTGTCAGGCGGGCACAGTGCTACTGAGCTACATCCCAGCCCAGCTGTTTTTATAACCTTGGAACCACCAAATAAAAACTCAAACAGAAAGAAACCTACACCATTGTGTCTTGTATCATAGCATTCTGGGCTATAACACCATTTTGTATATTAAAGTTCATAAAATTTTTTAATGATTAAAAAAAATCCTCTTTTTAGAAGATGTATCAGGGCTGGGGATTTAGCTTAGGGTTTTGCTGTGTGCCTCACAAGCACCAAGTCCCAAGTTTGATTCCTGGTACAAAAAAAAAAAAAAAAGATGTATCATTTCATCATTGGGGACTAGATAGATGAAATATGGAATATGCATTTAGTTAATATAATAGAAACAATAAACTAGAAGTACATAGAATCACATTTTTATTTTTGAAAATAATTTTGTGTGTGAACAAAAATCAAATGAGCTCTATCATACATCATTTGTGTGAAGTTTTGTTGTTGTTCAAGGCAGGATCTCTCTGTGTAGTCCACACTGGCCTTGAACTTGTGATCCTTCTACCTCAGCCTCGGGATTTAGACCTGCATTCCCTTGCTCAATTTATTTATGTAGGGCCAGGGATTTAGCTCAGCACAGTGCCTGCCTGGAAAGCACAAGGTCCTGAGTTTGATCGTCAGTATCCCCTCAAAGAAACTTATTCATGTAAATTTTTAAACCTACATTATGCACACTAAACAAGTATACTAAATGTATAGAGTGTGTGCCTATGGGAAGGGAATAGGACTGGATAGAGAGGAGCCATGATAGAATAAAAGCAAATCTTGCTGTGGGCTGTTGGTATCCCCCTCAAATTTATATGTTGAAGCCCAATTCTCCCAAGGTGAAGGTATATGGAGATGGGGTCTCTGGAAAGTACTTAGCTTTACATGAGATTCTGAGGGTAGGATAGGGATAGTGTCCTTAAAAGAAGAGACACCCCCCCCACATACACATATACAGTACATCTTGGCCTCTGTCTCAGTCATGAGAAGATACAAAATTAAAAGAGTCTGTCTGTAAGCCAGGAAGACATTATATATATAAAACATATATATGTATGCGTATTAGTGATGCAGAATAGTAGACTTCATTTAGGATGTTTGTAAATATATAGCACTTTTTTGTTGTTTTGTTTTGTTTTTTGTTTTTGTTTGAGACAGGGTCTCGCTACGTAGTTGAGACTGACCTGGATCTCAATGTGTAGTACAGGCTGGTCTCGAGATCCTGCTGCCTCAGCCTTCCAAGAGCTGGGATTACAGGTGTATGCCACCACACCCGGTTTAAAACATATTTGAAACTGCTAAATTTTTTGGGTTTTGTTCTTCTCAGTACCAGGGATTGAACTCAGGACTTTGCGCTTGTGAGACAGTTGAAGCACTACTGAGCTAAATCCCAGCCCCATAAGACATATTTTGAGAGCCGGGGATATAGCTCAGTGGCACTGCATCTGCCTGGCAAAAATAACAATAAAATAAAAATATGTGGCATTTAAATTTTTCTTGTTGCCGGGCATGGTTGCTCATACCTGTAATCTCAGCTCTGGAGGGGCTGAAGTAGGGAGATTGCTGTGAATTCAAGGCCAGCCTGGGCTACATAGTAAGTTTAAGGCCGACCTGGACTACATAGCAAGACCCTGTCTCAAAAAACAAAACAAAAAGTGTGTGTGTCTGTGTGTGTGTGTGTGTGTGTGTGTGTCTTTGTAGGTAGTACTAGCAGTGTATAGGAGTCTTGCAGGTCAGAACAAACTAGCATTCTGCCCAGAATATTCTGAGGTTGTGAATTATATTATATTATATTTGTTCAGAATATTTGTCTATTTATATATTTTTTTCTTAATTTCAGGACCACTAAATCATCTAGCTGGCATAATAATCAGACTGATTATTCTGCACTCAGTGATTCCCAGTTCCTCTTTGGATCTCAGTTTTGTCCAGAAAATTCAGAGACCCTGTCAGCACCCTTAGACTTAGGTGCTCATTTGAAACATCCAAAACAGTTGCAACAGAATTCTCTGGATGTGAGTCTGATTTCTAGAATTTCTCTACACATATTTCTTTGTCATCACCGAGATAAGCTATAAAGAAGACTATTATTCTGTTGGAAAATATTTTAGAATTGTACATTTCTAATGACTACTATTCTGACCAGCATCTAATGACTACCATCCTATGTTTTATTGGTAACTCATTTGATATGGAGGTCTGAAATGAAAAAAAAAATTACATTTGGAGTTTATTCTCTTACGAAAACAGTATAGAATATTATTGGTCCCTTGAACACATTTCTAGGGAGAAGAAAATATTGTATGACATTTCCTAAGTCTAGTCGTACTGTAGTTTATGAAAATTTCACAAGAAATTTGTCATAAAATAGGGATAAGCTGACATAAATTTTATTTTAGATGGACTGTTTTCTATAAAACTTTGTGTACTTTGTGGATTTCAGTCATCTCTGCTACCTTGTCTCTTTGAAGATGAAAATTCTGGAGTCCAAGTTAGTAAGGGCCAAAAGGAGTGACAGAGTCTTTCTTTTCATACCGGAAATCAAACCCAGGGCCTTGTGCTTGCCAGGCAGACACTGTATGTGCCACTGAGCTACATTTCTGACCCAAGACAGAGTTGTTTAACAACTTGATTTTTTTTTTTTTTTGGTACTGGGGTTTGAACTCAGGACTTTGTGCTTGCCAGGCAGGTACCAGAACCACAACCAGAACCAGCCCAACAACTTGATTTTTTTAAAAACAGGGTGTAACTGTGTTACTGAGGCTGACTTTGAATTCTTTGGCACAAATAATCTTCCTGCCTCAGCCTCACTGAATAACTAAAACCTTAGGTGTGTGCTATGGTGCCTGGCTAAATTATCTATTTTTTTCTGTCTTCTCTTGAGAATCAGAAATATTTTGATTTACTTTTGGTCTAGAACTATATTAAACTTTGTATACAGACTCACCTACATCAAAAGGGACATACAGCATGAGATTAGGTCAGAGATTTATTAGTAGACTAGGCTCTGAGGTTAGTATATTAGTACAAAAATTGGTATCTGATGATATTGTTATTGGGTAGCTCCTTTTTTCTTTTTTCTACTGCAAAAGGCTTTATTTTCTTTTGGTCCAAGACTTGGGAGGGGGCTCCAGATAGAAAAAGCTGCCTACTGGCGGGAGGGAGAAGCCCTGATGCCAGGTGAACAGGAGCCCCTCAGAGGCCTCCTGGCTCCGGGACCTCCTAGTCATGCTTGAAGGTGAACCTGCCGAAGAGTTACTTGCTCAGCCCAGCCTGGGGGCCTGCCAGCCTGAGTTAGTGAGGTGGTTGCCTGTCTTCTGGATGAGCTTTACCTCCTCATCTGAAAAGTAGGTTCTTCAGGAAATCACTGAGATGAGGGTCTGTCTTGGGAGAGCCCAAGGCAGGAAGATCCAGAAGAGCTTGGTTCAGGTTCTTCTCCAGGGCCAGGGTAGCTTCCTTGGCCTCCAGGGTTTTACCCCACTCGTCTTCAGAAGGTTTCTGCACGTCTTGAAAGAGAACCCAGCCTGTGCGCTGGTTTGGTATCTTAAAGAGATGCTCAGTGCCCTCAAGTTTCTCCTTGGCCAGCTTGAAGAAGAAATGGCCTATGCCCACCAGAGCCACATCGTCACAGTTGAAGTAGTAGCCCAGAGAGAGGTAGGCGTAGGAGGCCTGCAGGTGCAGATTCACCAGGTGGTTGATGGCGGCTTCCACTTTGGTGGAAAAATTCCGATGAATCTGAGAAGTCATGGCCAGTCAGCAATAAGGAGCTACCCACAAAAAAATGGTGTTGGCCAGTCCTAGAAGCAGGAAATGGGCCAGATGATGGTTCTGAAATTTGTAACTGGAAGGTGGATAGAGGATGAAAAAGAGGGATTCCCTGGGTCTGTTCTGTCTAAACACTGTTGAAGCAGGAGTCCTCCAGACATGCTGCTGGTATCTCCTTTTAAAAGTGGGTCACCAAATATTGCCAGGGTCTGGGTTGCTTGCCTCTCCTTCTGGATTTATATTCCAGGTTCTTCTCATCTTGAACAAAGAATTAAATGAAACAAGCCAAAAGAAGTGGCAAAGTTTATTTGAAAAAGTAAAACTGAAGAGTGAAGGAGAAACTGGCTCTACAGAGTAAGCTTGGGCCAAGTAAAAGGAAAAAGCAAGATAAAGTATACGTTGGAGGAAGTAGGGCAGGCTATTGTGAGGAAAGTCACAATGGCAAACTCTTCTTGGTGTCTGTGTCCTTTTATACTTTCTGAATCTTGAAGAAACCCACAAGAACTTCTACATAGGGTCCTGAGAGGTGCTGGTGGGACCCCATGCCTCAGTTGACATTAGGTCTAGGCCATCCTATCGAATAACTGCTCAAGTTCTTCTGAGAAATCCAGGTGCAGGGTATGTGTTCCGGGATCTTGTAATTAATAGGTCACACCTACTTCCCCTGCCAGCTTTGCCACACCCTAAATCTATGTCACTATAAAGTAATACATGTTTTTACTGAATGTTTCAGGTTAGATTAAAAAAGTGCTGGAAATGGCTCATCGTGTGCCACTGTGCCCACTGTCCAGGTCATGCTTACCAGCAAGTTTTAAATTTACTAGCACCTAAAAACAGCAGTTTTCCAGGTGTGGTGGTACATTCTTGTAATCCCAGTTTAGGAGGCTGAGGCAGGTTTAAGGGTGACAGGCTGTATTAGCAGAACCTTGTCTCAAAATAAAATAAAACAGCAATTTGAGTTAAACCCATTAATATAAAAACTTTACTACAACCTGGCCAGCTTAGTAACTTAGCAAGACTAAGGACTGGAGATGTAGCTCAGTGCAAAGGCCCTGGGTTCAATTCCCCAATACTCCCCCCCCCCAATTAATACACCATCTCAGAGACAGAGTAATTTTCTGTTACCTATACATTTATACAACTGATTTCAAGCCATGTTAGCTAGCCCTGAGTGTGTGTGGGGGGTGTTGTATGGGGATTGAATCTAGGGCCTTAACATTGAGCTACAATCCCAGGTTTTCTTTTCTTTTTTCTTTTTTTTTTTTGAGACAGGGTCTCAATTTTTTTTGTACCAGGGATCAAACTCGGGTCCTTGTGCTTGCAACGCACGCAGCAGTCAGCAGAATCACTAAGCTAAATCCCTGGCCCAACAGGGTCTCAATTTATTGAGTTGCCCAGGCTGGACTCAAACTTGGAATCTTCCTGCTTCAGCCTCCCAGAGTGCTGGGATTATAGAGATGTACTACCATAGTTGGCCTTAGCTGACATATTAAATGTCTCTGTACTAATAAAACAAATTTTATTAGTAAAAAGAGTTGTTTTATTATGAATATAATTTTTAAATATGATTCTTCATTGTAGAGAAATGGTATATTGATTTTTTTTTCCATTTAACAGAGTGAACCTAGTATTTTCACAAAGTACCAGACAAAACCCCAACTCTTTGGAGGAGAGGCAAAGGATGGGGGCTTATTTTCTCTTCCTTTACCAGTTGGAAAATCAAAATGCCTCTTGAAACAATTTGAGGAGAAAAATAAAAGGGTGAAAGACAAATGTGACAGGTATGGAAACTTTTCAAATGAATACAACAAGTCTGTTTCCTGGGGGAATAAAATGGACTCTAATTCAGGTCTCTGGGAGGCTGAGGCAGGAGGATCATAAATTCAGGCTCAGCCTGGATAGCAGTGATTTAGGGAGCCCACACCTGTAATCCTAGCACAGTGGGAGGCTGAGGCAAGAGGGCTGCAGCTTCAAGTCCAGCCTGGGCAATTTAGTAACTTATCAAGACTCTATCTCAAAATAAAAGTTTGGGGATGTAGTTCAGTGTGAAGGGGGTCTGGATTCAATCTTCAGTACTTCAAGAGAAAAAAATTAATAAGAGCTGAGGATGTATCTCAGTAGGATGCTTTGGTACCAGTTTTTAAAAAATCAAATAATTTAATTTCAACATCATATAGAGTTCTCCAGAGAACCAAAATCAGGAAGATTTGTATATATATAGGCAGTGACAGGGACAGATAACAAGAGATATAGAAATACAGTGCAGTGGCACATGCCTGTAATCCCAGCACTTGGGAGGCTGAGGCAGGAGGATTGCTACAAGTTCAAGGCGAGTGGGACTAATTAGTAAGAGTCATCTCAAAACAAGAAAAACTAAAGTCTGAATCAAGGCCTCAGGAAGGAAAGAGATGGCAGCTGATGTGAAGTCCTGGAGTTTGAAGGCCTGAGAGCAAGGAGCGCTAATGCTTACGGGCACAAGATGGATGATTCAAAGGAGAAAGTGAATTTTTCCTTCTTTTGCCTTTTTGTTCTATTCAGGCTCTCAACACTTTGGATGATATTATGGGGATTATCTTCTTAGCCTACCAATTCAAATGCCTAGCTCTTCTGGAAACACTCCTACAAACATACTCAAATAATGTTTTACCAGATATCTGGGCATCTCTTAGCCCATTCAAGTTAACATATCAAATAACCATTGCAAGGGCTGGGGATTTAGCTCAGTGGTTCTGCCACCTGCCTTACAAGCACAAGGTCCAGAGTTCGATCCCCGTTACCAAAAGAACAAAAACAGTAACAATAACCATTGCATAGCCTTCTTGCCTTCCAGCTTGTGTGTGTGTGTGTGTGTGTGTGTGTGTGTGTGTGTGTGTGTGTTCATGTATTCGTGTTCCTGGGAATTGAACCCAGATGCCCTGTACCACTCTACCACTGAACAACATCCACATCCTTTTCTATTTTTGATTTTGGGACAGGGTTTTCCTAAATTACTCAAGCTGGACTCAAACTTTTGATCTAACTACCTCAGCCTCACAAATTGCTGAGATTTTAGGCTGTAACAGAGCATTCATCTTAGTTTTTTGAGGTCTTTTATTTTTTGCACTGCTGAGAATTGACCTCAGAGCTTCACACTTTGGCACATATTCAACCTTTTTTTATTTAAAATTTTATTTTGAGGGCCAGGTATTGTGGCGCATGCCTGTAATCCTAGCACTCAGGAGGCTGAGGTAGGAAGATCGCTTGGTAAGTTTGAGACCAGCCTGGGCTACATAGTGAGTTCCAGGTCAGTTTCACTACATAGTGAGACCCTGTCTCAAAAAA